ACTCAGAGGCAGAAAGGGGGTCTGAGCTGAGGCGTAGGGGGCCTCCCTGTCCAGCCAGGGCAAGAAGAGAGGCCAGGAGCCCTGGGGAGGCCTCCCACCTGCCCTGAGCACCTGACTTCTGAGCAGCTGACCCGGTGCGGGTGCCTGGGCCAGGGCCAGGCCGATGCCTTAGGTGGGAGGCAGTCAGGGGCTCGGAGCCGGTCCTGCCCCTCCAGGCCTGCCATGAGATCTGGGGCCAGAGCGTGCGCTCTTGGGTTTTAGGGGCCTGGAGAAGCCTTCCCTGTCCTGACCAGGAGATCATGGAGTCCAACCTGCAGGGGACATTCCTGCTGAACAACACACCGCTGGCTCAGTTTCCGGAGATGAAGGCCCCCATGTGCCAGTACTCGGTGCAGAACTCCTTCTACAAACTCAGCCCCCCGGGGCTGGGCCCCCAGCTGGCCGCGGGGACCCCCCACGGGATCACGGACATCCTGAGCAGGCCGGTGGCTGCGCCGAACAGCAGCCTCCTCTCCGGCTACCCCCACGTGGCAGGCTTTGGGGGGCTCAGCTCCCAGGGAGTCTACTACAGCCCCCAGGTGGGGAATTTTTCCAAGGCCGGGAACGAGTACCCCACCCGGAACCGGAACTGCTGGGCCGACACGGGCCAGGACTGGCGAGGCGGGCGGCAGTGCAGCAACAGTGAGTATGGGGTCTCCCCAGCCACCCTCCCGGACCCACCAGGCCCCAGGGAGGAGAGGACGAGGAGGGGCCTCCTCCTAGGAGCCCTGCTCCCTGCCCTCTCCGCTAGCCGCCATTAACCCCAGGACTCATGGCCTCAGCTCAGTGCAGGCTGAGTTCCACCCTCTCCTCCTTCCCACCCAACAGTGCTGAGACACAGGTGTCTGAGCCACCCCTGTCACCTGCTGCCACCTCAGCTGCCCTCCTAGGGCCTGTGGCAGTTCCAGACCTAGAGAAGGCTCCGCAGCCCACACCTGCCCTGCCCGGAGTCCAGCAGGCAGCCCAGCTCACGTCTGCAGCCCAAGACCCATGCCACTACTTCTCCACCAAAGTAGGCAAATGCCACCCCCGTAAGGAAAATGTCCCAGCTCACCTTTTCAGAGAGCCCCGGCATTGCTCAGGGGTACAGGACGCACCCTGGCCCCATCCAGGTCCAGCCTTTGAGCCAGGGGGCTATGCCCACCACATCCTCGGGTTTACAGCAACAGCAGCCGCATCAAGTGGCCAGCCTCTGGGAGCTGCTGCCAGCCCAGCTGAACTTGGCCCTGGCTGCCGGGAAGCGGGGGGACCTCTTCTCAGCCCACCCACCCCTCAGCCAAGGTCCTCAGAACTGTTCCGAGGGTGGGCCCATGATGTTGGTCAGGGTGACTGGAGGAGGTGGCAGGGCGTGTCCAGGTAGGGCAGGCTCGGCTGGGAGGCAGGGAGGTGAGAGTCTTTGGAATCTTCCCTGTGCCACCAAAACCCTGCCCATGTCAGGCAGGGGCCTCCACTTCTGTCTGATCTCTGGGCTCCCCCACTCCAATAGGGGCTTGAGGTCAACCAAGGAAACCCCAAAAGCGCACCTGTCCCCGATTTACTACCCTGCCTAGCCGGTAACACTGCCTGTCACCCATTACTGTGCCCGGGAGGTGAAGCCCCCTCTCTTGGAAGCTGTTTTAGGCTTGGCTTTGGGGGTGCTTTAAGCCTCCAGCTAGCTCTCTCGTCCCTCCATCTCCCCCTCCCCACTCCCCATCCCCCACGCCCCCTCTTCAGTACGGAATGCAGGTACACACACAGGGACATAGCCAAGAAAGTCAGTGGATAATGAAGGCAAAGGCAGAGGCTTGAAGATGATCTCTCAGGAGGGTTCTTCCTCTCTGTGCCTCAGTTTCCTCACCTGTAACTTGAGCCGTCAGACAGCAGAGAACGAGGCCTGACACATGGGAATTCTGCCTCCCCTGAGCCCACTGCCCACAGCTCCTTCCCGAGCCGGCTGCCCTGGCCAGGCTGGGGGTCAGGGTCTCTGGCCTCCATGCCAGGCTCTCCAGGGTAGTTGAAGCCATATGACTTCCAGGCCTGGTGACATGGAGAAGTGGCAGCTTGGGGCTTGAAGTTCACCCCTCCCTGGCTTCCTGGAGACCTGGGAAGTTGGGTCTCAAGAGCAAGGAAGTTGGCGAAGCCAGGGGGTGGGGGGAATTCATAGGCCCTGGTCCCTAATTATAGGAGGACATCTCTGGGACAGAGAGGGACATCCCTGGGACAGAGAGGGAAGTCCTGTTGCCTCTCAGAGGAAGGCAGCATCAGTATTGAGAACTTTAGATAGAGAAGCATGAGGCTCTGCTGCCCCTAAGTCTCCTTACCCCAGGGCAGCTGCCCTCTAGGAGCCCTGCTCAGCCAGGCAGGGCAGAGGTCACAGTCACTGTTCTCCAATATCAAGAATGCTGCTCAGGGGAAAGGAATCTTGGTGTCCTGGCAACCTCTGTGGGAGGGAGAGGAAGGGCAGGGCTGGTGCCATGTGGGCTGTGCCTAGCTGCAGGGTCTCCACTTATCCTACTAACCCCGCACCTCCTTCCTCCTGCCAGCCCCAGACCCCTTGAGTGACAGCATCCACAAGAAGAAGCACACCCGGCCCACCTTCACGGGGCACCAGATCTTTGCCCTGGAGAAAACCTTTGAGCAGACCAAGTACTTGGCTGGCCCCGAGAGGGCGAGGCTGGCATACTCACTGGGCATGACCGAGTCGCAGGTCAAGGTGAGTCTGTGTGGGAGGAGCCCATCCAGCAGGCTCCCCCGGTGCTGGAGAGAGGTGGCCACGCAATGCAGCTTTCCAGAGGGCGGCTGTCCTGGTGTCTGCCTAACCCTAGACCCTGTGTAATGCACCATAGCCAGGAAAAGGCCGTCACCCACTGAGCCCCATTCTCATTTCACCCTCTCAGCAATCCGGGGCAGGGGGCGGGGTTGGTATTATTATCCATTTCACAGATGAAGATCAGGGTCTCCTGGCTGGGAGAGCTGGCAGAGTTGAGGTTCAACCCCAGATGTGGGGAACGCCAACCTCAGGCTTTCCCTCTCGCCTGCTATTTGGCCGAAAATTCCAAACACTGTTGGCAGCCCGTGGCCCAGATTCAGGCTTGATGCTCCAGCCAGCAAAAGGAGCTGACCTCAGTTTACCAATCTTTGTTTTGTTGTTTTTTTTTTTGAGACGGGGTCTCTCTCATTCTGTCACCTAGGTTGTAGGGCAGTGGTGCGATCTCGGCTCACTGCAACCCCTGCCGCCCGGGTTCAAGCACTTCTTCTGCCTCAGCCTCCCCAGTATTTGGGTTTATAGGCGCCTGCCATCGTACCACACTAATTTTTGTATTTTTAGTAGAGATGAGGTTTCACCATCTTGGCCAGGCTGGTCTTGAACTCCTGACCTCATGATCCACCCACCTCAGCCTCCCAAAGTGCTGGGATTACAAGCATGAGCCACCTTGCCCAGCCCCTATCTATCTTTAAGAAGAAAATGCCTCCTCCTGCTGAGCAGGATCGGATGGGCTATCAGGGCCTGGAGCCACGGCTGGGAGGGTGAGCCCAGGCTCTCCCACTCCAGCCTCGGGGGCCCCAAGTGTCCCCTAAATAGACGCGGGGAAACCTGTTTCTACTGCTTCAGTGTCTGGGGGCAACTTTCCGCGCTTTGACGATAGATGTCTCTTGGGACTTTCATTGGGGGGGCACCGAAGCTCAAGAAAGCTCGGAACTTCGGGGACTGCTGGCTCAGTGACTCTGCAATCAGGCTAAGGATGCAGCAGGGGCAGCTGGCACTGGGTTCTGGTTTTTGCTCAGGGCCCTGGAGCCTCCCCAAGCTCCCAACTTCTGCACCCTCCTCATCAGCCGCTCACCAACTGCAGTGGGGCGAGAGCTGGGGGGGCAGAGGCGGACCCTCCTGCATCTTTCTGCTTCCATCCTGCACTCTTCAACTACCCCAGGCAATGGACCTATGTTACTTTTCTAATTAGGGTAACAATTATTTATGAAGTTGGATGAGGGTCTATGAAACCCAGAGGAGGGACAGCTCATAAGCACCTTCCTATGCCACCAGGGCTAAGCCTTCCACCCCACACGCCGCATCTTCCACGAGTGCCCAGAAGGAGGAGGAGGAGGAAGAGGAGGCGGCGGCGGCGGTGGCGACACGGGGTGGGGTGGAGGGGAGAGCTGCGGCGAGCTGAAGGGCTGCTACGCTCACGTTTTTAAACTTTATTGTCCTTCCCCAACAGAAACGTGAATGTGACAGCCACTCCGTTGTTAAGCCATTCGTTTGGCTGTAAAAGCAGGAGAGCTGTTCTCGCGCCCGGTGCGCGCTGTGCCAGTGACCCTCGGCGTCTTTCTCGTCCCAGGTGTGGTTCCAGAACCGTAGGACCAAGTGGCGGAAGAAGAGCGCCCTGGAGCCCTCATCCTCCACGCCCCGGGCCCCGGGCGGCGCGGGCGCAGGCGGGGACCGCGCACCCTCGGAGAACGAGGACGACGAATACAACAAGCCACTGGACCCCGACTCAGATGACGAGAAGATCCGCCTGCTGCTGCGCAAGCACCGCGCCGCCTTCTCGGTGCTCAGCCTGGGAGCGCACAGCGTCTGACGCCCGCCGTACAGGCCCGGGGTCCCGGCTGCAGCCCGCGGGGGGACGCCGAGGAGCCTGCCTTCCCCTCCCCTTCCCCACGCCGCTTCGCTGGTGGCGCAGGGGCTGAGTCTTCAATGAGGGTCGCGTGAAGGAGGTGGAGGAGGAGCGGCAGGTGCAGGGGAGGAGGCGGAAGAGGCGGAAGAGAGGCGGGGGAGGAGGAGGAAAAGGAGGGAAAGGGGACGGTCATCCCAGCTGAGGGAGGAGGAGGCCAGGAAAGAGAACAGCACTCCTGAGACCTGGAAACCCTGGCCGCTCCTCCGCGGCCTCGCCTGCCAGTTCTGCAGATTCTCAAGTGCACGAGGACTAAAATGACCAGGCTCTGCAGCCAGGAAACTGGCTACGGGGTCCCAGACAGGCCACTGTGATCCAACTGTGGGTGGGGACCCTTCCCAGGGAGGGAGGCAGCTGGCTGGGAAATCAGAAGACCAGGGTCTTGGTTCCCAAGCCAGCAGCTGGCTGCAGAAGAAAAGACGACTTGAGTGTCCTGGTGCGCTCCTCAGACCTGTGCGCAGGAAGGGTCCCACTGGAGGGCCCAGAGCTGAGCACCTAACCCTGGCTGCAGGAAATCTGCCTCCAGGAGGGGAAGTGGGACATCCCAGCGAAAAATAAACCCCCCTGGCGCTCCAGGATGATGGCCTCTAAGCTTCGGAAATCCCCCCTGGCCTCCTTTCTCCGATTTACCCTGAGGGCCAATACCTCTAAGACCAGAAGACACAGGAAATCCCTGATGGCCGGGAAAAGGGGAGGGTGCAGGGAGAGGCGAGGCGGGGATGTTGTACCCAAGGACCACCTACCTGGACATCACTTGGTGCTGACAGAAGGAAGGACAGGCCCACCGGGAGAGAGGAAGCACTCCACCTGGGGAGGAAAGGAAAGGCTGAGAAGGACAGGGGAACATAACCCTTCCAACAAGGCGGGAAGGGAGAAGGAAATCCCCTCCCGCTGGGTAAAGGATGCCAGGGAGGGGCTGAACCACAGCCTGCTGGAAACCATGGCCCTTCCTTTCTTCAGATAACCTTGCTGCCTGGCACTGGAGCTGGTGGCTGACAGGGATGCTGGCCAACAGGGTGGTGTTTTTCACCCAGGAGGATCTGTGCTGCTGGCAGGTGGGGGGTGGGCTGGGGGAGGTGGGTGGGGGCTGGAATGCAGCCCAGAAGGGACCAAGCACTTGCCCATCCTCATTGGCTTTCAAAAAATAAACACTAAAACTGAAAGTCCACAAACCTCCTTACGGCTCCTGTGCTTCTGCGAATGGGATGAACGGCAGGAAACTGTTGAGGTCCCAGACTTGCCAGCTGTGGGGCCTTCCCCGAGGGCTGTTGTCTAGTCTTCTGGGAACATTCGTGCTCTGACAGGTTGCACAACACAGGTTATTTGAAACCTTGCTGGCAGATGCCAGACACTGTCCCCAGGTGCTGAGAAACCCAAGACGAATTTCATGGGGTCCCTGATCTCCAGAAATGTATAGCCTACTGGGGAAAATGGTCTGTGTGGAGAATTGGGCTCATAAGAAAAATAAGGAGGGAGAGATTAGAAGAGCTAACTAACAGAACACCTCCTAATTTCTCCCCTGTAGAATGCCTGGATTATCTCACTGACCCCACAAGAAAACTAGGCAGTAGGCATCATCTTCAGTGCATGGAGGAGAAAACTGAAGCTCAGAGTCCCATACCAAGTCACAGAAGTGGGGAGAGGCAACCCCAGAGTAGATCCCAAGGCCCTTTCAGCCACTTCCTCGGGTTGCGAGGGGCACCCTTCGAAGCCTTTTCTGTCCAGTGAGAGTCTAGAACTAGAAGTAGTCTAAGGCCCTTCCAACTTCAACCATCTATGCTGCTAGCAACTAGGCTTGACCTCTTTGCTCTCCCAAGAAGCCCATCGCCCAGTCTTGGACCCCCAGGGCAGGTGAACCTGGGCCTGGAGCCAGCCCGAGAGGGGATGAGGGTGGAGGAAGACCCTGAGCATCTCAGAAAGTGGGGCACCCACCTTTCCTATGACCCTTGGTGAACCTGGAGGACAGTGGGGAACATGACCAGAAAACGCAGGATGTGTGTAAACTCCAGCCCTCTGTCTGTGAAGATGCCGACAATCAGGTGTCCATCTCCCCACTTGTAAAGTGGAAGGGAGAAAAGAAGGGAAGGTAGAAAAGAAGGGAATGGAGCACAATCTCTGTGTGGCCCTGCACAGCACGGGTGTCCTGAGCGGGCCCGACAGTGGCTGCAGCAGGAGAGGACCCTAGAATTCAGCACAGGCTTCAAAGATGAAAAGTGTCCGTGGCTCTGGGATGCCTGCGGGTCACCAAGTGCTGCAGGCAGGAAAAGGCTGTCACATAGCCCGGGTGCGAAGCCACCAAGCAGGCATGGGGGAAGATGCCGGTGACATAAAAACTGTGTTTACTTATCTTTCTCTGAAGCATGCTGTAATCATAAGTGCTCTATTGTAGCTATAATTCCTGCATGTCTGATTCAAGTCGTTTGGGGTCAGTATTAAATGAAGCCTGGGGAAAGGTTTTCCCAGGAGACATTTGCTGAGCTCAACAAAACCTCTTTCGACCTCAAAGTTCTGGGAAACCTGCCACCGGAAACTTTGGCTCAAAGACTCCGCCGTTCCCGGCCATTTCCTCTAACTCCACCCTCCTGCCATGTGCATCCTGAATGGAGGGCCAAGCACAGGAGAGGCACTGCCTCCCAGTTCCCTAACGATCATGCTGAAGCATATTCAAAAGACTAGATTTGGGGGCGAAAAGTCATAGGTGGATAACCCAGATTCCTGAGGGTGATTTGGTTAAGTCTGGCCCTCTGCAGATGTGCACACATGTGAATGCCTGTACATACCTGTGTGTGCATATGTGTGTGTGTGTGAGTTACTTGGGAGAACATGAGGTTATCTCACTTTATTCATCATAAAGAAATCATAAGCCGGCCCGGTGTGGTGGCTCATGCTTGTAATCCCAGCACTTTGGAAGGCTGAGTTTTGAACTTGACCAGCCTGGCCGACATGGTGAAACCCTGCCTTTACTAAAAATACAAAAATTAGCTGGGCATGATGGTACATGTCTGTAGTCCCAGCTACTCGGGAGGTTGAGGCAGGAGAATCGTTTGAACCGGGAGGCAGAGGTTGCAGCGAGCCGAGGTCGCACCATTGCACTCCAGTCTGGGTGACAGAGTGAGACTCTGTCTCAAAAGGAAAGAAAAGAAGAAAAGAAATCTTAAGCCATAGGCCCCACTTTTATCCCTGCTCATAAATAGAACTTCTTGTATATCCTGGGTTAAATAAACAAACATACAAAAATCAACAGAATTCTGGAAATCCATGCTCCCTGCAGTGCCTCTCTTACGACATCACAAACTTTTCAGAGACAAAAGGAAAGAAATTAAGTTCTACGTCCATGACGCTCGTGGTATCTGCTTTGACAATGACTCCATGGGCTCCACCAAGTAGGGACAGATTCCGCCATAGCCATCATCTTTGTGGCTTCTTTTGGTAGCAGAACCCGGGATGTGTCTTCAGCAGGTCGGGTGAGGGTGGGTGGATGTCCATGGCTTACCAGGCTCACAGGAGCTGTATCCTGATTATAACAATCAGAAAGACAGCAAAGAGGCCCGGTACGGTGCCTTGGGCCTGTAATCCCAGCACTTTGGGAGGCCAAGGTGGGCAGATCACCTGAGATCAGAAGTTCAAGACCAGCCTGGGCAACATGGTGAAACCCCATCTCTACTAAAAATGCAAAAATTACCTGTGCATGATAGCGGGCACCTACAATCCCAGCTACTGGGGAGGCTGAGGCAGGAGAATTGCTGGAATCCAGTAGGAAGAGGAGATTGCAGTGAGCCGAGTTTGCACCACTGCACTCCAGCCTGGGCAACAGGGCGAGACGAAAGAAAGAAAGAAAGGAAAGAAGAAAGAAAGAAAGAAAGAAAGAAAGAAAGAAAGAAA